GGACTTTAATTGAACAGAATGGAAGATCAATATTCATGTAGCCGACTCCAATTAATTGAGAAAAGGCTATAATAATGTTGGTGATATCTAAGTGGTAGAAAATTCAAAATTCAATTTTTGTTTTATTTGAGAATAATTATCTAGTGATTTTTAGAGTTTTTCCAAACTTTTTTACCACAAGAAATCCTTTCAATTAGATCTTATGACTGAGGGAGTAGACGTGCACCATGCTCCTATGGTAGCATGGTATACATGCCCATTTGTTTGTCTTTAAAATGACTTAAATGCTATTTAATGTTGAAAGGGCAAGCACATCACGTAACGGTGGTAATGGACCCGACTTGACCTAGGACCGGGATACCTAACCTCAGGTCAGGTTATGGGTTCAAATTTTCGATACGAATACTATTTGGGTTCGAGTCAAGCCGAACCCGACCCGTACCTGTAGTCATAGGGTACATGATGGTAATCATATATCTTTACATATGTTAGATGTTCATATTGTCACAATATTGGCAACATTTACAGTATTACAGGCAAAAAAAAAACGAAGCTCATAGTCCATAGGGTATATGATGGTAAAAAAAAAAAAAGGCAAAAAAAAAAAGAAACAAAAACAAAAGCTCAATAGTCATAAGGTGGCAATGGTTTCGACGAGATCTGGGAACCGATGGATCTGGGTACGGGTCCAAATTTTAGACTTGGATACTAATCGGGCCTAGGTCTAGACGGACCCGACATGTTGCCACCCTAACACCACGGTACTAAAATGCCATCTAGCATTCAAATTGGTCCGTTCATTGTTATGAGCGCATTAGACTGCCCATTTTTTTAATTATTTAAAGGAAAAAGTTTATATAAGTATGAGGCTCTAAACAATCAAATTAGGGCACACATAAAAAATTTCACTAGAAAAAGTTATTTTGATGCCCAAATCTCCTCAAATTGATCATCTCGACCTCAAGATGCATATACAAGAGAAAAAAAATGGATTTCAAGTTTCAGAAATAGTGCATCTTGTAATGCATTTTTGGACCATCAATTTTCTAGTTTTTATAGATCTAGTCGATCCACACTATTTTTGAAGCTTTAAATTTTATAATTAGAGATGAAAATATATTTTAAGGCTATCACAAGATTTCCAGTATTGAAACCGCATTTATCGATACTATTTGTAGGCGTGCTTTACTTTGATTGTTTAGAGCTTCTCCCTTATACAAACCACGACCTTATTTAAAAGCATATGTTTAGATAAAAGGCCCTATTCAAACCTACCAAAAGGAGCAATGGGGTGCGGTTCGATGTTTCAAATATTGGATTGTCCCAAAAATGTGCATTTGCTCCAAACACCACAAAAAATAAAAAATGTAGCTAAATGTTTGTAATATCAAACAGGCGAATAGAGAGCAAAACTAAAAATAAAATAAAAAAAGGTCTTCACCGTAATATTTCAAAAGTTACATACCAAAAGGTAATTTTATAAATTTTTCTCAATCTATTTATAAAGGGAAAAATTTATAAAATGTATCGACTTCATACTATAGAAGTACCATGCACCTCAAAAATCCTCCCAGAAAAGCTATTCCAACATCGAGGAGAATCATCTTCACCTTGGGATGTATGATTATGAAAAGGAAGGATTTTAAGTCTTAAAAATAGTGGATTTTGTAATATTTTTTTTTCAAAAAATTTAAGTGTTTATAGATTTCCCCTATCCATGCCATCTTTGAAATTTCAAAATTTATAATTCGGTGTGAATATACATTTCTACGTCATCATAACGATTTCTATCATTAGAGCGTGATCTTTTAGGGTCTGCTTGATTTTAATGATTTCACTTCATGGATACAAGTGGGGTTTTTTAAGTGTCAATGGTCACTTTTTGGAACGCCACCCCTTTTATAAAAAGTGATGAAAGGGCAGTCTTCCATAATTTGTGAGATACTCCTTCCCACTCCCAAAATCTCCAGGGGCCCTTAATAAAACATGCATTTATGTTGATTATTTAAGATTCATACCTTATATAAACTCACCCATTCATAAATTAATCATTATGATATGAGCACGTACATAGTTTACTTTTACTCCCATGGTGAGAAAACCTACTTGGGAGAATTTTTTTTAGTATAAAAATTTGTGAAGTACCTAAAGATTATTAGGTGATTATTCTAAAAAATAAAAATAAAAATTTGAGTTTGCTAACTCTTAGATCTCTCGATCTAAAAATTGGATGGTCTCTATCCAATCTGGAGGCATTATTTTTCTCCGGTGAGTAGAGGTTACAATTAGGTTTATTTATTTATTTATTGAGATTAATCTACAGGTTAAAGATGTTACAACCTCAAATTTTGAGGTACTGAATTTCATTCTAAATCAAGTTTTAACAAGGGAGTAAATAAATTTTGAGGCAGTCGTCATCATTATCAAAGCTTTTTTTCCAATCAATTGGGACCGGCTACATCAATCTTAGTCTACTAGCGAATTCATAAGAAATTTTGATAAAATTTTATATTAATTGTTTACCTAACACAATCCACCTTCTGTACAGGTGTTTAGGATTGAGGTAAGAAAAAATTTGAATCAAGAATGTTTTTGATAGTCCACCTGCCTATGAGCTCTTTATCTCAAAGAAAATTAAAAGGCACCATTGTTGAGGAAGGATGCGTACTCCATCCTTATAATTTAGGACTCATGTAATTCCAAAAACACGTACCCCAAGGTAAAACACAAGTTTGTGGAGCACAAAGGAGGAGGGAGAAGGTAAGAGAGAATAAAAGACAAATTTATGGATGGGGTGGAGGTATTTGAGAGAGAGCTTAGCCAGACAAGTTCATGGCGACAGTGATCCAGGGAGAAGCTGAGAGAGAGAGAGCAAGTTTATTTCTACTCCCTTAGATGATCTATTTGAGAGGATTTTTTCAATATGAAATTTTGGTAATCACTTCTGTTAAATTGTTTTTTTGGAAATCACTTTAGAATAATGGGATGATTACTATCTAAAAAAAAGGCAAACTTTCTATGTTTATTCTATAGCATAAAAATTATATATTTCCCCTTATCCGACCGTCCATTTTGAATGGAAGGCTAAGATTGCCCCAATCACAATGTCACATCTCTACACTATTTTATTTTAAATTTTTTTTTTATAAACTATTTTAACACCAAATTTTGAACGTCGAATCCTCTATTAAACTCTCACTAGCGAAAAATATTAAAAAAAATATTTTCAATAAAATAAAATAATCAAAATACCAATGAAAGATTCAAGAGGTATTTTGGTGATTATATTTTATCGAAAAATTATTTTTTAAATTAATTTTTTTAATTAAGTTAGTTAGCCCCAACTAAAGTAAGAATAAGAAGTCGTAGGGTAGGCGAAGGACACAACGAAGGGGAAGGTAGGAG